TGCATCGGCTGCTCTTGATACTCACGGGGATTTTCGTTCGCCCAGATGCGGCAGTTTTGCTTGTTTACCGTCCCATTCAAAGTGAAATGCGCTTCGTCGCTGAACATGATTTTTGATGAAAAATTGGCATCAATTTGGCGGTGTTCAAGGAGCCAATCTGAGAACGTTCGGCGCGAAAAATGGTCGGCCCGACGCAGCTCTTGCGTCAATTGGATCTTGTAGGCGTGTACATTCAAATCCTTGTGGAGAATGCGGAGCAAACTGGTTCTCGAAATGCCCAATTCTTGGGATCGACGCGTTGTTGATTGTTTCAGATCGTCTCTCAGACTCTCCTTCACAACAGCAATATTTTCCGGTGTGCGAACGCTCCTTGGCCGGACAGAGCCTGGCAGATTTGCCACAGAACCTGTTGCCTCGACTTTACGCACCAGGCGACCGATGGTTGTTTCGTTTGGGCGGTTGTTGCGACCGAAATGTTCACGAAGCGCGCGAAACGTGTTTTTTATTTTTGAACCATTTTTGTAGTGGTCTCGAATAACTTTAATGCGGTCTTCAATCGAATACGACTCCATAGCGATCAATGGTAAACATTCAACTAACAAAATGACATGTCGGTGACAGAAAACAAAGATGGCGTCTACGTCAAATTGACGTTTACTTTCCTGCGTCCCTATTGGACAACCCTATAGTTTCACAATATTGATGTATGGCATATTATACATTACTTGAAATTAGAAATGGAAACTGTTCATCTATGCAAAAACAAAATTTGTTGTGCAGCGTATCTTAAAATCCAAGGTCAAATACACGCAGGAAAAAATAAAAACGATTTTTGGAAATCTATCTTTTATCGCCTACATTCGGGAATAATCCGATTTTCGAAACTTTGCTAATGCCAGTTTCTTGTTATTATTTAACTGGTTTTTCATCTATTACCGTTTGCGAGATCCCAATGGCGAAGGTGTAATTTGAACCACCCTGTATACCACAAACACTCGCCCCATGATCAACCACATTTCGGTTTAACCGTGCAGGGTTCGTAAATAAACATAATCCCACGCTGATACCATAAACACAAATGTACCATGGTAAGCGTCAACAGAAACGCACACAACTTTCAAAACATCCCCATGCGCACATGTTCTCGTGAGACTTTCCTGTGTTGTGTATCCGGAAGCGACTTTATAAGGCAACGGCCCCATTGAGCCCGGTCACGTTGCCGAAAACCGTTTCGGGGTTATTAGGGGTACAATAAAGCGGTCTTGCCTCGAGGGTAAAACTTGCCACGGTAGTTCTGGTGATTTCGTAATAAAAATTATGCAGGGTATTCATGCGACTTCGTTTCGCTTTTAATTTCAAAATTTAGCCGCCAGCCGCCATGGCGTTTCAAATGAGTTGGCGCACACGCAATTTGCTGACACTTCTTTGGAAAAGCGCAGAGAGGTAGGCATCGATCATATTACTAATACATGGTAACATTGGCTGTCCTGTTTTGCTATCATAAATTGATTTTTTCGTACCTAGATTGACATCCAAATATGTATGATGTTTCCGTGTTGTCCGAGAGGGTACAGACAAACCTCCTGTCTGAAGCATCAATGAACTGTGCATAAATGCGAATATATTTGGTAGTTTTTGTGATATCTTTTGTTATGGATTTCAGGAATTCACACACATTGCACATCTTTTTTTACCCCTTCGTCTAGTGTTTTTTGTTTGTTACATAAATATGTATACAGGGTGTCCCAGAAGTCGACGTCAAGCCGAAACCGGGTGATAGGCAAAGTCATAACAGCTATCAGAAAAATATTTAAAAAAATTTTATGTATGTGTTTTGAAAATTATAGGTCTTTGAAAAAATATAGAAATTTCACACCCTACGGCAGTCTGTCAACTCTGTTACTACAAATATTAACTTTTTTTGGATTTTATTTTTACAATGTAATGATGAATAATGCATCTTCAAACTGGTGTCTCAACCTTACTGCCAACTTTTCTCGTTCAGGAAAAAATGCCACTTATTTCCCAACCAAGTATTCCAAAGTAAAACTTTGCTCAACTTTAACTGGCTGTACTGGAAAAAAATGTACTACGAGAGTTGGGCAAGTAACCTTAAAAGTTGGCGCATTTAATAAGGATTCCAAAATGGTATAACACTTAGAAGATTACTCGTTAACGTATGCACAATTTTTATTTGAAGAAAAACTGATGAAAATTTTTCAAAATTTCCTAATTAAACAGCGATTATGAAAACGCACAAGGACCCTTAAGGATAACTGTTTGCACAACAGTGGGCGTCAAAATGCTGCTGATGATGATTTTCCTTTACAGCAAATGCTGAAACTGTTTTCCTTCAGCCGCAATACACGCTCGACATCTTCTTAAAAAAGATCGGGTTATTAAACGAGCGAATCCACGGTTATTAACAAACTCGGCTGCTTCCAATAGTCTTTGCCGTAGCTCAGCTACATTTTAAATCGGCTTGAAATACACTTTTTCTTTTACAGTTCCCCAGTAAAAAAATCTAACGGATTCAAATCTGGTGACCGGGCTGGTCACGGTATTGTACCAGACCGCCCTATCCATCTGCCTGGAAAGTTTTGATTGAGATACTCTCTCACTGAGAGTGCATAGTGCGCTGGGCAGCCATCATGCTGAAACCACATGTCCCTGTAAATACTCAGTGGCACGTCCTCCAATAAATTTTCTAAATGATTTTGCAAAAAACCTAAATAAACCTCAGCAGTCAAAGTCTCTGGGAACTCAAACGGACCGATTATTTTACCATTTAAAATTCTTGTCCAATGGTTTATCTTGAAGCGATATTGAGATTTATCTTCTCTCATCAAATCTGGATTTGCTACGTGCCACTCGTGTAAGTTGTGCAGGTTCATGTACCCATCTTTCTTAAATGTGGTCTCATCTGACCATAAAATTTTTTCAAAGAACCGTGGATCTTCCCTGTGTCTTTCTAACATTGTGCGACAAAAAGCAACTCGGGGCTCATAATCCCGGAGCAGAAGAGCTTGAACACGCTGTACGTGGTATGGATGGAGCACGTTTTTTTGCAAGATTGTATGGGCTGTACTTTTGGGCACACCTGATTTTAGTTCTATTGCACGCACTGAAGTACTCGGGTCTTCTTCGACAGCTCCTAGCACCACGTCTTCGTAAGAAAGGAAAGATCTTCCCTCACCGTGTGATTGGTTTGGTAGTTGGCCCTCTGAGAACAGTAAGCGGTGCATATTTGTGAACACTCGATGATCTGGATGACGAGCTGCATTAGGGTACCTCTCACAGTAAAGTCTCACTGCAGCACTAGCGTTGCATCTGCATTCCCCATAAATGAGGTGCATGTTAGCATATTCTTGTACGGTGTACACGGACATAGCGGCATTGCACAATCACACTATCAAAGATAGTTTAGGGAAAGCAAATGTTGTTTTGAAGAGCAATTAAACAGTCCAAATCCAAATCACAAGCGATCAACAGTCCAGTTCACGAATACAAAATTAGTAACGGTACGAAATCAACAAGCACGAACATGTAAAGATGCGCAATAAACGAAGGAGTACTGATCGGTATCAAAGTCTGCAATAGCAAGTAAGTGATGTGCTTCATCCATACCACATACAGCGTGTTCAACCTCTCCTGCCCCAGGATTATGAGCCCCGAGTTGCTTTTTGTCGCACAATGTTAGAAAGACACAGGAAAGATCCACAGTTCTTTGAAAAAATTGGTCGGATGAGACCACATTTAAGAAAGATGGGTACATGAACCTTACACGAGTGACACGTAGCAAACCCACATTTGATGAGAGAAGATAAATCTCAATATCGCTTCAAGATAAATCATTGGACAGGAATTTTAAATGGTAAATCGGTCCGTTTGAGTTCCCAGAGACTTTGACTGCTGAAGTTTATTTGGATTTTTTGAAAAATCATGTACAAAATTTATTGGTGTGCCACTGAGTATTTACAGGGACATGTGGTTTCAGCATAATGGCTGCCCAGCGCACTATGCACTCTCAGTGAGAGAGTATCTCGATCAAAACTTTCCAGGCAGATGGATAGGGCGGTCTGGTACAATACCGTGGCCAGCTCGGTCACCAGATTTGAATCCTTTAGACTTTTTTACTGGGGAACTGTAAAAGAAAAAGTGTATTTCAAGCCGATTCAAAATGTAGCTGAGCTACGGTAAAGACTATTGGAAGCAGCTGAGTTTGTTAATAACCGTGAATTCGCTCGTTTAATAACGCGATCTTTTTTAAGAAGATGTCGAGCGTGTATTGCGGCTGAAGGAAAACAGTTTGAGCTTTTGCTGTAAAGGTAAATCATCATCAGCAGCATTTTGACGCCCACTGTTGTGCAAACAGTTATCCTTAAGGGTCCTTGTGCGTTTTCATAGTGGCTGTTTAATTAGGAAATTTTTAAAAATTTCCATCAGTTTTTTTCAAATAAAAATTGTGCATAAGTTAACGAGTAATCTTCTAAGTGTTATACCATTTTGGAATCGTTATTAAATGCGCCAACTTTTAAGGTTACTTGCCAAACTCTCGTAGTACATTTTTTAAAGTACAGCCAGTTAAAGTTGATCAAAGTTTTACTTTGGAATAGTTCTTTGGGAAATAAGTGTCAATTTTTCCTGAACGAGAAAAGTTGGCAGTAAGGTTGAGACACCAGTTTGAAGATGCATTATTCATCATTACATTGTAAAAATAAAATCCAAAAAAGTTAATATTTGTAGTAACAGGAGTTGACAGACTGCCGTAGGGTGTGAAATTTCTATATTTTTTTCAAAGACCTATAATTTTCAAAACACATACATAAAATTTTTTTTAATATTTTTCTGATAGCTGTTATGACTTTGCCTATCACCCGGTTTCGGCTTGACGTCGACTTCTGGGACACCCTGTATAATGTAAATAATATTAAGAATTAAAAGCCTTAAACGCATCAACGTGAGGTTCAGAGAGATTTTTTTTTCATTTATTTGAAATCTCAAAACTTACCTTCATCGCTGCTGCCATCCGTAGTCCATGCTTCGTCGGCATCAAAATGAACTTCAATACTGGATCTCATTCCAGTAGGGAAGAATGCATGAGCCAGTACCACTCCCCGACCATCAAATGGGAAATTGTCACCATGTTCTCTCCTGTAATAACATCAGCTTTATAAGATTATATTCTAGCACCAAATATCCACCGAATATGTTATTTGCTTTACCATCGATTATCATATTCTAATCAGATCATAACACGATCCTAACATTACGATTCTAGTACAAGGCATACTAAAAATAAATCTACCTAGCCATAAAAAAACAGTTAAAACGCACAGGCATAGTAAGTCAAATAGTGGCAGGAGTTTATTCTGATATTAGTTTCCAGTTAATATAGTGAATTGTGAGGAAAAGTGAGTAACTCAAGATTAGAGTAGTAGAGTATATGTGAGCATGAGTAGAAAGTCCTTTAGAAATGAATCTGACCTCTGAGCAGTGGGTTCATAACGCGCTGAAAAAATTCCCTCAAGCAATCAACCAGAAGAGACCCAATTTTCCCAATCCAGAAGTGTTTCTGCTGCATAACCATGTGACCGTGCGTGAGGCTGCCAAAATTAGACCTCTTGTGTAGGAATGCAGCTTCGTTGAGATAGACCATTCTACCTATGGTCCGGACTTGGCTTCGTATGGCTACTACCTCTTTAGATGACTAAAGAAGAATATTCGAGGACACAGTTTTGACTGAAATGATATCCTAAAAGCAGCCATAGACGACTTTTTATTGGAGCTTAGAGGAAACATTTCTTATAGGAGAAATGGCGCAAGTGCATTAATGTAGGCGGGGATTATATCGAAAAACAAAATTATCAGAAAATAATTCGTCCTTTGTTTCATGGCCAGGTAGATTTCTTTTCTGATGCCCCTTGTATGATACGGTATAGTAGTCAAGCACCTCAAAACTATCCCCTGCTACAAGTTAAAATATACGTTCTTCCAATATGAATATTGATTAATAAACATATCGCTCGGTTAAGGCATATCCAACATGATCTAAATCGTTCCAATATTTTTATGTCAGCGGCAACACAATTGTAAATCTCCTCTATACTCCGTTTTCGGCAATGCTAAAGCTCCAAGAACTCATGCATGAAAATGAAATTCGCACTATAACCTTGATTACCATATTCGCGTATGTGACCATGTATTTGTTTTGATCAGCCAGGGTTGTGAATACCAATGAGGTCATCATTTGCCCCACAAAAATTGATGAACATGAGTATACATTTATTTAGGAATAATTGCATGCGAGATAGCTTAATACTGAATTTGAAAATACCCAATTCAAAAATGACAGCGGGAGTGGTGAATATTTTTGTGTCTGTAATTACTCGACTATTTGACGTACTATATTTGAAAAATGCACGCAAAGATAATATATCAGGCAAGATTTGAAAAGGTACTAAAAATAATAGAGAAAACAAGGAAAACTGGTGACGTGAAATGATAGATGTATATTATATTTGGAATATACTGTTTTGAAAACAACCACAACTCCTCTCATCAGTCCCGTATTCTTCAACTTTATCACAGGACATTTGCATCGCAATCTGTGGTTATGCTCCTTCATGAACTTTCTTGGATCTCTTGCTCTTCTTCATTCCCACGTTCTTCTTCAACAGGAACATAAACTCCATCTCTTGTCGCACCCAAAACTTTCCCAAACATCTTAAATACAGCATTCGTAGCTCTACCCATTTTTACACTAGATTGAGGCATAGCTTTGTCTATGGTATAACTAGTCGGTTTAGGTAGAGCAGATTCTTTTCCATCCTTAGCGTTCCCACATCCTTCAGGGGTCGAGATGTCACCTGTCTCATCCTTATTACTAATGTATCTTCCAATAGCATTTGCGATATCTCTAGTATATCCCCCAAGGGGTGGTGATGGACATTTCTTGGACCTACATTGACTCTTAAGGGGCTCAGCTAGTACTTCTTCTCCTGAAGCTCGACCTTCAGTTGGGACTGCACTTTGACCAGAACTAGGAGGTGGTGCTTCTTCAGCATTGCTTTCTTTACTAATCTTCTCTTCGACATCTTCTCTAGTATTATCCTGGATCTCCGGTTCACTGAGTTTTTCTTCAGGGGGTGCTGAATTAGGTGCTTCTCCTTCTGAAGCTTTACCTTCAGTTGAGGCTGCACTTCGACCAGAACCAGGTATTGCTTCTTTAGCGTTAATGTGTCTACTAACCTTCTCTTCGACATCTTCTCTTTGTAAACCCATAAGATTTGAAATACCCTGAATGGCAGACTTCGTATACTCACTTAAAGGTGGAGGAGGGCATTTTTTCTTTTCATGTCTGGTGCACGACGACCTAGTACTATCCTGGACCTCAGCTTCACTTGGTACTTCCTCACCTGAGTCACTGACAAGTGTCGGTTTTTCTTCAGGGGCACTGTCCAATCCTACCAATTGTACAACAGCTTGAAACGCGCTTCGAGTAGATTGCCTCAACAGTATGTCAGGCTTTTTGTTAACCCTCTCATTCACACTGCAGTCTGGTGATTTGGTTTGACATGCAGACTCATCTTCTTTTTGATCTTTGGTACTTTCATCATCAACCGTTTCTTCAACAGCGTTCTCACTAGTTTCGGAGTCATCCTCAGCGTCTTCGGAAAACATTATACTCCCCACATAATCTCTGACATTAGAAATAGCTTGAATTGCAGATTTTGTATACTCACCAAGTGGTGGAGGGGCACATTTCTTCTTTCCATATCTTCTACATGTCTTGCATACTGGATATTCATCCTTACTAGCACTTGCAACTTTATGTTCGTGTTCTTCGTTAACCAATTCAGGCTCTCCAACTTCTTTCTCTGGCGCTTCGTAAGCTCCTATCAGTCTCACAACAGTTTTATAGGCACTTCTTGTAACAACACTCAACTGCTCAGTTTGTTCTTCACCAACATTGAAGCTAGCTTGTTTAGGTTGACAAGGAGGTTCCCCTGATTCTGATTTTGTATTGTCATTAGTTTTTTCTCCATTAACTGCTTTATTCTCAATATCACTCTTTTCTTCGTCTATTTCATCTTCGGCCTTGGAACTATTACCTGCTTTTGTAGAATACCCTATATAATGACCTACAGCCTGAGCAAAGCTTCTAGTATGCTCTCCAAAGGGTGGTGGCGGGCATTTATCTTGACTTCTACATTTTCTATCCCAGATAGATATTTCTTCCTGTTTTTTGGATGAATCACTCTCCTCTGTATATGAAGCAGATGCTTGTAGAGTAGCTGGAGACGTTTCGTCTGCTTTCACAAGTTTTGAATCATCCCCATCGTCCTCTACTGTAATTTCACTTTCTTGAACTGGTTCAGGTTTAAGCCCAAGTAAGTTTGATATAGCTTGTATAGCCGATTTAGTGTATTCTCCAAAAGGTGGTGGTGGACATTTTGGACAGTTCCCCCTCCTTATTTTAGAACAACTTCCACAATCTTCTTGTGTTTCTTCACAATCTTCATTGCGTAAGACTGGTATATCTTCTTCTTCTTCAATAGAACCCTCTAAGCCTACCAGTCTTACAACAGTATCGTAAGCACTTTGCACGGCCTGTCTTATTGGGATATCTGGACATCCTATATTCGATAAAATACCTTGGGATGTTTCTTGTTCGATCAATCCGGAAGCATCATTTGCAGGTAGAGCTTGTGGCTGGGACATTAAAGATGATTTTGATATTTTTTACAATGAATTTAGGATGATATGTTCCTGGATCAGGTTTGAAGATGATAGACAGATATGATAGATAAAAAATCTAAATGACATCGGATGTGTATCAGTCAAGGTGCCATGTTGTCAAATCTTGTCTATTTTAGGAAGTAGTAGCTGGTGCTAACATTTAAGGCTCCCTAGTACCCCTAATTGCATTATTCAATGGTTTTTGCAGATATAAATAAGAAATTTGAGCATATGAAGGTAAGGTGCATAATGAAGAGAACCACTATTCGAACATGGACAGGTGACTTGACCAAAACGTGGGTCCAGGCTCTGGATGGTTTAAAAGTGACATAATTGCGTGGACAAAACGGAGGTACGTTAATATTAATTTGCGCTAGAATATCTGGGGAGTCGATCATGCCACGTAAAAGTTAAAAAAAAAATATTGCAGAAGAAACCTTTTTTCTGAACTGTAAGCTTTGAATTCCAAAATGCCCACACAGCTCTGCATTGATAACTCATTGCTCACGATAAACTACCTCAGATTTCATATAAAGCAGTTTAAGAAACCTGCTTTGAACCTTTTCAATTTCGTTTACGTATATATTCATTTGATAATACGGGATCCATATAATACTTGCTCATTCAAGTTTGCTACGCATATATAATATCCTCAAAGCCCTTATTTCGCCAAATTGCCTACATTCGCTGACAAGGAAACCGTAGGACTTAAGTACTTCTGAAACTTCTAGAGAAATATGAGGAGCATATGTTAATCTTTGACCCAGATCTGTGACTGAATTACATCTTACCAACAACGCACCATCAATATTATATTTGAAAATAAGTTTTTGTCCTACTTTAAGTATTGCACTTGTTTGTATTTATATATTTATATTTTATGTAAATTGATTACATCGCACTAAATGTAAATCCCAACAATCATAAATATCCTTTACAGACGAATATATTTTCTTGTAGTCAGCATAACATAATTCCATACACTTCACAATTCCACAGAGGTCATTAATAAACAATAGAAATGAAGTGGTCCCAGTTTAGATCCCTGGGTGACACCGGATGGAGCTGAGTAGGCTTCGAACTTGAACCGAATATATGCTACGTATTGCTTTCGCACTGATAAATAGGATCTGAAGAATTTTATAGTACCCACTGTTAATCTAAATTGCCCTAATTTCTTCAACAGAGCTCCATGATCAATTTTGTAGAAGGCATTTGAAAAATCTGTATAAATGACATCGACCTGACAGTTATCATTCAGTGCTTCAGAGATAACTTGAAAATCTTGTAAAAGCGAACATTTTGATAACTTATGTGTTTTTAATGACCTTAGGTTTAACTTGATTAAATGCCTGATCGAAAGATTCTGAGAAGTTAAGAAATTATTTTTCTGATAGGTTGAGCGGCAACACCGCGGCCGTGTCGCCAAGTTCAGATGTTGGGACCTATACCCTTGTCCTTTTTCCTTACTCAAGAAAGCATAAGAAAGGGATCTGAAGACACGCCCGTTAACTGATTCGGAAATGCACATCTCGCTACAATCCTCAAGGGCACATTAGGTACTGGGGAGCCTTGACACTTCGACATTCCTACAGGGGTTCCTAACGTATTTTGGGCTCACTCATAATTTATCGTTATATCGCTCTAAGGTGGATCAAGGCCCAATTAATTACCTAAAAGCCAATCTTTGTTGAGTTTAAATCGCTGCAGACAAAAGAAAAGGAAATAATTAAGATTCCTGACTACCGCGATTTTATAGAAGGAAAATTTGTGAGCGAAACATCTAAAATTACCTTCCAGGAATAAATCGGTCGTAAGAAAGATGAATTATCAAAATCCAGGTGGATCAGAAGTTCCAGTTCTGTACCCCAGCGCACTACCAGTGACGTATCATTGAAAAATTATTCGAATAAAAATCATAGTTTTGCGCGCCTTTTGTAGGATATTTTTTGCCGAGATTATAACTCTTCATATGATCTTGACGAATATTCTACTATAATGTAACGCCCGAAGCTCATCATGTGGTTTTCATTCTTATATAACTCCGTTCTTTGGTCAAATGAAACCAAATATGTATACACTATTTTTTACTGTCGTTTTGACCACCACGGTGGCATTTTTAGAAGCACAGGGACAATATATTTCATATTTATGTCTTCCAGGTGACAGTTCATTTGTTCTTTTTCTATGTTCGCTACTATATATTGCATTTCGACGCCAGTCTAAATGGTCCTGTTGGTGTTACCAAGTGCAATTTGTTTCAATTCCGGGCAGAAGATAAAGCAATTTGGAATTTAGGGTAGATTGGGAGACACAAAAACAAGGTTTTTTAAAACTGAGGTTTAGTTTATTGTTTTCCAACTAACGTAGTTTATATATCTGCTATTAAAACCGATTATAAGTTTAAAGAATGATGGGTTTCAATAATGTTGTTGATTTCTCGGGGCGCTTAGTGATCCGATGAGGTGCAGATAGGATTGCGTTCGCAAATCCCTAAGCATCGATAATTCCCGCTCTTTAAAACCGTTCAGCCCCCAACCTAAGCTACAAGCGAGCATAAGGTTATCGGTTGTTTTGGATGTACCAGACACGTTACCCTCGCTCGTCGTTTCGATAACATTCTCCGAGAAAATGCGAGAACCCTCCCAGAACTGTTGTTCATACCGGTTGCCTGCTCTGCAATCTTTTACTACTAATTCTGCATCTGCATTGCTCAGAGCACCATGTTGGTTGTCTTGTGAAGAAAAAAATAGCAGTTTGAACTTGAGATGGCGAAGCTAAACATCTACGCATTTGGTATCTAATAATAATGCATAAGAAAAAACCTGGAAGTAAAAAACTTATAATCCACAAGTCGGTTTAGAGATTATCAATTAGACCTCTTCTTGAAGGTAGGTAAAGGAATCAGTCTATATTATGTTAACCAATTGTCTCTCTAGTTTCTCTGTATATTGTAGCATAATTTTGCAAACAAAATTGCATTCTTTTTTACTTATTTGAAAAAAAAAACTTGTCTAAAGATCAGATGTAGTGTCTTTATCTCTTGTAACACACACCTCCAGATAATTCTTATTAATATTTAAACGAACTAAATAATATATAATAGATAATCTCAAAGAAACACACGCTGATTACAGAAACAATATAAAACAATTGTCATGTTAAACAAAGCGAAAAGCAGGCGGAAAAATCAGCTGATTTGTCGCAACAAAAACGCAATTTTTAGGCTTTTCACTTGTTGTAGTCAAGAGTCAGCATTTCGGATGAATGCTGGGTAATTCCTGATTATAAACAGTTTAACGTCGAGCGCATGATTCAAGTTCTGCATTACGAGAACGCTAGGGCAGTGGTAGGATAGGCCAGAGTTTTTAATTCGACATTAACGCATCGTCAAGTCTAGCGTCAACGTTGCGGACGAACGTTGTGTAATTCCTGTTTATAAACAGATTAGCCCCATGATTCAAGTTCTGCGCTTTAGCAACGGTACGGCAGTGGTACGGAACGTCAGAGTTTATAACTCGACATTAAAGCTTCGTCCAGTCTAGCGTCAGCTTGACGTAGCTCCTGTTTATAAACAGTTTAACGCTGAGCGCATGATTCAAGTTCTGTGAAACGGGAACGCTACTGTAGTGATAGGGAACGTCAGAGTTTATAATTTAACCGTAAAACTTCGTTAAGCGTTGACGCTAGCGTTGCGGACGAAGGTTGCGTAATTCCCGTTTATAAACAGTTTAACTTCGAGAGCATGATTCAAGTTCTGCTTTAGAAGAACGCTATGGCAGTGGGAGGGAACGGCAGACTTTATAATTTGAAATTGAAGCTTCGTCAAGTCTAGTGTCAGCGTTGCGGATGAACCTATGCTTAGTTCCTGTTTATAAACAGTTGAACGCCGAGCACATGATTCAAGTCCTGCATTACAGAAACGCTACTGTAGTGATAGGGAACGTCAGAGTTTGTACTTCGACCTTAAAACTTCGTTAAGCCTAGCGTCAACGCTGCGGACAAACGTTGCGAAATTCGTGTTTATAAACAGTTTAGCACCCTGATTCAAGTTATGCGCTTTAGCAACGGTACGGTAGTGGTACGGAACGTCAGAGTTTATAACTCAACATTAAAGCTTCGTCGAGTCTAGCGCCAGCTTGACGTAGCTCCTGTTTATAAACAGTTTAACGCTGAGCGCATGATTCAAGTTCTGTTACGGGAACGCTACTGCAGTGATAGGGAACGTCAGAGTTTATAATTCAATCTTGAAACTTCGTTAAGTCTAGCGTCAGCGCTGCGGACGAACGTTGGGAAATTCCTGTTTATAAACAGTTTAGCGCCATGATTCAAGTTTTGCGCTTTAGCAACGGTACAGCAGTGGTACGGAACTCCGGAGTTTATAACTCGACATTAAAGCTTCGTCCAGTCTAGCGTCAGCTTGACGTAGTTCCTGTTTATAAACAGTTTAACGCTGAGCGCATGATTCAAGTTCTGTTACGGGAACGCTACTGTAGTGATAGGGAACGTCAGAGTTTGTACTTCGACCTTAAAACTTCGTTAAGTCTAGCGTCAACGCTGCGGACAAACGTTGCGAAATTCGTGTTTATAAACAGTTTAGCACCCTGATTCAAGTTCTGTGCTTTAGCAACGGTACGGTAGTGGTACGGAACGTCGGAGTTTATAACTCAACATTAAAGCTTCGTCCAGTCTAGCGCCAGCTTGACGTAGCTCCTGTTTATAAACAGTTTAACGCTGAGCGCATGATTCAAGTTCTGTTACGGGAACGCTACTGTAGTGATAGGGAACGTCAGAGTTTGTACTTCGAGCTTAAAACTTCGTTAAGTCTAGCGTCAACGCTGCGGACAAACGTTGCGAAATTCGTGTTTATAAACAGTTTAGCACCCTGATTCAAGTTCTGCGCTTTAGCAACGGTACGGTAGTGGTACGGAACTTCGGAGTTTATAACTCAACATTAAAGCTTCGTCCAGTCTAGCGCCAGCTTGACGTAGCTCCTGTTTATAAACAGTTTAACGCTGAGCGCATGATTCAAGTTCTGTGTTACGGGAACGCTACTGCAGTGATAGGGAACGTCAGAGTTTGTACTTCGACCTTAAAACTTCGTTAA